AATAAATAAATAAATAAATTCAAAAAATAAAGAAAAAAAAAGTCTATGGCTTACAAATATTTCAGCTCCAAATTTTCTCATTTTAAGAGTCTATGGCTTACAAACTATTTTTATAAGTTTTTAAGTAGACTGTTTCAGAAACTGTGAGAAGTATAGTACATAGGATGAACTGCATTATGCAAGATCATTTTTAGTACCCAGATACTAGAAATCCTATAGTTGTAAAAATTAGCTTCTACTTAAAAATGAATATAAAGAAAAATGAAGCTTTTCCTATCTTGCCTTAAAATGTAAAATTAAGTCCATGCACATTTAATGTAGAGTCATTTAAAATGAATAGTCCATGTCATCCCATGTTCTATTCCAAGGCAAACATTGAAATTTAAATTAGTTTAACAAATATGGCAAAAATCACTGATCTTTTTATTTAAAAAAAAAAAAAAAAAAACACCCAAGGGGGGGGGACCCCAGAATTTATTTTCTAAAGCAAGGGAAAAACTGAAACTGCTAACTTGTTATCTTTCTTTAAACAGTAGGAATTTAGCGAAGCTCAGTAGAAACTGTAGCAACTTGCTATTTCATGTTCTTACATGAATTTTAATGACAGTATAAGATACTTTCTGACTGAATAAAAACTGAGACTCTTAAGGTAACACTGTTATCAGGACAGTGTTCCACAAGGTGAGCTAATGAACAGAATTAGAGATATACAAACCTTGTTCACTCATTTCAGTATTTTCATGGGTTCTGTAAGTTGACTCTGCAAGAGAGATGAAAGAAAATGATTAGAACTAAAAAGGAAAGGTGCCATGTGGTAATTATCAGAAGTTTAAACTTTAACAGATCTTTATCTGTCCTTTGAAGGATAGTTATTATTTTTTAAAAACCCATATAATTCTTAAAAGGGAATGATTGAAAAGTAATAGAAAACTAATGTAAAGATAAATTTCTATTTTAGTTCCAAGATAAAACATCCAAAGGTCAAGAAACACAGAAAATGAAGTACAAGTAGAATGTGTGGAGTGACTTTGCTACTTTTCTCTCTTAGTCATAAAGCCAATTTAGGGCATTACTTTTTAAGGTTTTAATAAAAAAGAAATGTAATTGAGACAGGGAAATTTTACAGCCTCAGTCTTGCTATAAAGCCTGAGTCTGGAATTTTTTTACAAGCAGTATACTGTGAAGAAAAAAAGTCCATGATCTTAGCTAAAATGTATCATGTGAGCACCACAGCAATATGTAAGCAAGGACCTTTTAAAGAGAATAGGGAAACCCTTTATAAAGTGATATGGAACGATTTCTCAATATATACGAAAACTACAAATGAACAAGAGAGCAAACAAAAGAATATTTCTGAGGCCAAACTGTTTAAAAAGAGAAAAACATAATTTATACACGAATTTTCTTAACTCTCCAAAAATAGCTCCAGAAAGATTATTTAGGAAACATTGGTTGATTCTGATGAGACTGAGTGGCTAAAGGACAGCTGACACAAGAGACTTTTCACTGTTCACCTATAGAAACATTTGAGTTTTGAACCGTATAGCACATTTACTACATTTACCAATCAAATCAAATTTATAAGAAAAGTTAAACCAAAGTAATCTCTTACCATGTCTTGTGCTTCTTAGTGGGGGTCTACGTAGGCTACTAATAGGATCTTCACTGGTCACTGGTTAAGGGAAACAAAAAAATACTAGAATTGTTATAAATCATCCCTTTATTTAATCAACAAAGACTTACAGAGCTTTCCATTATGTTACACAACCAAAGTTTTCTCTACGTAAGTGACAACGAAGTAGAAATAAGCTTCCTACCATATAAATTCAATGTCTTGGGAGAAATTTGCTGTTTTTCCATAGATCACATTGTACGAAAGAAAGGGTAGACTAAATAAAATTCTTCTAAATTAATCAAATAACAAGCAAAATCTGTTATAGTACCACTTCAATGATCTATTTCATTCATGACTAATGCTTACTACAGATTATTAATACATTTTAATTTTAAGAGTTAGCTTTCCAAGAGAAAATACAATTCCTTCAACTATTTATACTGTTTTCTTGGAAACGCAAAGGCTAATTTTAAATAAAATGTTAATGTTAGCCACATGCATAGGACTTATATAAGGAAATCAATTTCATTAAATAACATGCTACTTTTAGTCTAGAAAAGCGAGAGTTCCATATGACATAACTTAAAACCCAATATATATCTAAATTTGGATTCTTTTCTGTTTCAATCATCTCTATGGAATGAGCTCAGTTGTTAGAATTCTCCCCATCAGGTATTTAGAACTTACATAAATAGCTTTAAAAACAATCTTATACACGAGTTGATAAAGGTAAATTTTACTCACCATTAGTCCTAGTATTACAACTACCTTTTTTTTCTCTGTATTCCCAACCTTTTCAGGTTTAATTAAAGCCTAAAACCGAAAAGGTGGTTTTGTTTACTTTTTGCTGAGCTATGTTTAAAAAAAAAAAAAAATCTATGGGGCCAGGGATTTAACTCAATGGCTCAGTGCTTGCCTAACAGGCATGAGGTTAAAAAAGAAAAAAAAAAAGCCAAAATTATCTATCTATCTGCTTACCTACCTACCTACCCCTCTCTCTCAGCAACTACTTTAATTCCCACCTTTTTATTTAAGAAATATTTTCTGTATGTCCTATCACATAAGACCCTAGGTAAGGTACTCCAAGGAGACAGAGTACCAAAGAGAGGTACAGGAGAGTAAAGTCACTAGTATTCTTCACTTGTCATCATTGTACTCACCCAGAATCAAGTGTGAGAACTGGTATAAAAAGGCATACCTCTTTAAAGTTCCATGAGAATGGGAGTGGGGTACTTTACTGCATACAACATGGCTTATTTTTAATTAATTAATTAATTAGATACAGGATCTCACTATGTAGCTTGGACTCACAGTGATTCTCCTGTCTCAGCCTCCCCAGTGCTGGGATTATAGCACCACCATGTCTGGTTTCGGTGGCCGGCATGATATGTGGTACTGGGGATCATACTCAGGTCCCTGCATTTTCCAGTCAGGTGTTTAAATCACTGAGCTATTTCGCCAGCCCCTACAATGTGATTTTACATGTGCTATCTCACTTCTCCAGGGAATCTGTAAATTACATACAAGCAATAACACAGTGCTACTATACACACCTGAGGCTCATGATGGGTAGGTATGTGACCAAGGCCCAGTCACTTCCATATTTGCAATCATGCTTTCATTAGTAGTCCTTAAATACAGGTCCAATTTAATCTTTAAAAAAACACTTGTTCAATATATTGTAATATATCATAGTTTTATAATGGTCTAGAATTTGAAACTTAAGTCTTCATGGTAACAATTTACTTAATTCCAATGTTTCCTTTTTTGAGTAGTAAGGATTAAAATCAAGGTCTTTGCACTGAGCTATAGCCTCAGCCCTTTTTAAAAATCTTGAGACAGGGTCTTGCTAAATCACTAAATTTTCCAGGCTGGGCTCAAACTTTTGATCCTTGGTATTTATATAAATTTAAAAACTGTTTTTTATTTTATTTTGCGGTACTGGGGATTGAACTCAGGACCCTGTACTTGCCAGGCAAGTGCTTATTCTACTGAGCTATCTCCCCAGCCCTGATTTTTAAATAAATTCAAAGATTATAGTTTCTTTCCAAGTAGCCTGGAAAATCTGAATATAACATTCATTACTCAAAGTATTTTTCCAAAATATTTTATGATATTAACAGAATAGCTAGGCATGGTGGTACTTGTATGTAATCCAAGAACTCAGGAGGCTGAAGCAGGAGAATTGCTTCAAGTTCAAGGACATGTAATCCCAGCTCTTGGGAAGCTGCAAACAGGCTGATCACTATGAGTCTGATCTAGTAGTGAGACCCTGAACATCCTGTAGACCCTTCCCTAAAAAAAAAAAAAAAAAAAAAAAAAAGACATCCTATATTATGAGTTCATGGCCAGCCTATTCTACACAGCAAAACCCTGTCACACATACACACACACACACAAAATTAAGACAGTAACATAGACTACTCAGGGAATTAAGGATAAAGGTATGTATATTTGAAAGTGAACCAGAAGTAGACATACTAGATTCTAATTTGAGAATAGAATAATTCAAATAATCTCATTAGAAATAACAGATAAGGGCTGGTGAGATGGCTCAGTGGTCTAAAGCACCTACTTAGAACAAGCTTAGCAAAGCACAGGGACCATGGTTCAATCCCCCAGCACCACA